TTAATGCAGCAAGAAAGGAGTTAGAAATGCATATATTTCTGCTTTGTGGTGCAAACAGAGAGGTGATGAGAGCTTAGCCGAGCAGAGAATATCAGCAGCAAGCCTGCTCCGCCTAGGGCTGCTCGCTGTGCCGCTCCCCCTACCCCCTTTACGGATTCTCCCTGCGGCTCACAGAGGGGACGCTGCGGATGATGGAGCCAGAGCTCTGACCCAGCCGCCTGTTCTCTTAACTGTTGCACCTCCTGCCTGTGTAGCAAGAAGAGTCTGTGAGGCAGCTCGCTCTGGCCTGGCCTGTGTGTGTGGGTTGCCCAAGGTGGGGTGGCCCTAATTGCTAACTGCAATCTTGATGCTCCTCTACTTGAATGAACACCAGTGACAAGTCATGTCTCCTTCTTCACTAAGCACACGAGGCAGTCACCTACCCAGGAACCTGGCAGGGCTGGGCGTGAAGCACCGGAGCTCAGCTGGGGCAGAGTGAGAGAACCCCATGGAGGGCTTGGAGGGGAGAACGGGCAGGAGGGCAGCAGGGCGGGGGAGCCCTGGGAGCTGTGCATTATCTGGAGGCAGAAGGGAGCCATGGAAGGATTTTGAGCAAGTGACTGGCATGATCAGCTCTGTATTGTAGACAGGGCACTTTGTCAGCAGTGAGGAAATGAAGTCTGAGGAGATGGGAGGATCCCTGTGGGAGACACCAGTGAAAGGAGTGTAACCCCCATGGGCCTGAGCTGCTCAGGGTTGGACAGGAAGGGGGCTGGGAAAGGGAAGTGCCAGGGACTCCCAGGCTTGGCTTTGTCCCTAGGGCAGTGCACTTGGTGAGACTGTCTGAAACCCAGCCTGGGTCTTAGCCTGCAGCAACCTAAGGAGAAGTGTTTCCCACCCTCCTCACCTCTAAATCACAGGCACTTGCTGTGCCTGAGGCCACACCCTCTGGGGTGGGCTGCTACCTGCAAACACAAAAGGCCATTCCTAATTTAGGGAGAGAAGGGGAGAGAGAAATTTATTATTTTGATTTTGAAACATGACAAAATGGGGGAGACCACCCATTGTCCCACCCATGCACACACAGTTGCCATTCTTAAGTTCTGTTCTTTGAGAAAAAATATTTGCAAGACTCTGCTCTATCCTATCTTTATCATAAAACTGTATGTCTGACTTAAGGTGGCCCTTAGGTCCAGCTGTCCACCTGGAGAGCCCCAACATGCCACCATCTCTACCTGAGTGCCCCTAAGCCCTGTCACCCTCCCGATCCTGGACCGGCCAGCCAGAGGGTGTGATGTAGGACGGCAGGTAGCAAAGGCAGGGTCTCTCCTTCCCTTGTTGGGGACAGTAACGCCCCAGAGAAGGCCTGCAGAGAAAGCAGCACAGAAACTCCCACCCAGGCAGCAGGGTGGAAGGGAGAGGGGAGCCCGGACAGTCTCTGCATTCTCAGGAAGAAAGGTGAGGCCTGCGTGGGCGCCCTTCTAGACTAGAAGTCTGGGGATTTGTATCAACAGGAGGCCCCAGGTGGAACAGTTTTGGAGTTTTTCCTAACAGCTTTATTGAGGCATAATTAACATACCATAGCATCCATGTACTTTTAGTAAATAGTGCAATGACAGTGCAAGCCTCACCACAGCCTAGTTACAGAACATTTTCCCCAAAAGTTCCTCATGGTCCTTGCAGTCTCCCTCCCACTCCCAGAGCCAGTCAGCCACTCGCCTGCTTCCTGTCTCTATAGATCGGCCTTTTTTTGGACATTTCCTATAAATGGATTCATACAGTCACCTAGTGTGGTTCTAAATTCACCCATGTTCCTTTTTTATCACGGGTGCTATTCCACTGTATATGACAGACCACATTTTGTTTCTTTAGTCACCAATTGGACAATGGAATTCTGTCCAATTTTTGGATGTTATGAATAATGCTACAATGAACATTCGCTGGTACATTTTTGGGTGGACACAGGTTTTCATGTTGCATAGGAGGGTGCAATTGTTGGATCATAAAAATTTATACTTAACTTTTTAAGAAATTGCTAAGCTTTTCCACAGTGGCTACACCATTTTTCTTTCCTACCAGCCATATGAGGCTTCTAGTTTCTCTGCATCCTCACCAACACATGTTATTGTCTGTCTTTCTGATTATAGCCATCCTAGGGGTGTGAAATAGTATCTCATTGTGGTTGTGATTTGCATGTCTCCAAATGTACTCATTGGATGTCTTATGGTTTCTCTGGAGAAATGTCTATTTAATTCTTTGGCCAGTTTTTTAAATTGGGTTATTGTAAATATGTCTCTCTTCTCAGCATCCAGCGCGGCTAGAGAGCGGTCCAGTTCCTGAGTAGGGGCGGCTGGGGATTGGGAAAATGAAAGAAAGACACAGACACAGAGGTGGAAGGAAAAAGCTGGGGCCGGGTGGGACCACTGTCCTCTGATGATGAGACAGGGACAGAGACGTGACCCAGAGCGGATACAGCGTATTTATTTTATACAGCAAAAAAACAGGAAGTTTTACTAAAAGTTAAGACAAAGGAGATTATGTCCATTCTTGGGTGGGCCCGAGTCGAATTCATTCCTGGTTCTTGGCTGGATTTAAATAACAAGACCCACCCCCTGGCACCTGGACTAAAGGTCAGCTGACAACACTCCTGCCTTTTGGCAAAGGACATGTTTCCAGAATGTGGCTTTGCCGACACCACTGGCTTCAGCTGACAATAATTAAAGAAATGCCCATGTGCCTTCCTAGGTGCTCTCTACAGGTTATCTTTTTACTGAGAGCTCTTTATATGTTCTGGATTCAAGTCCTTTATCACATATGCTTTGTAAACATTTTCTCCCAGTGTATGGTCTATCTTTTCATTTTCTTAAGAGTGTCTTTTGGAGGACAGAACTTTTAAAGTTTTTTAAAGTCCAGTTGACCATATGTTCCTCTTATGTATCCTGCTTTTTTCCTCTTATGTATCGTGCTTTTGTTGTCATGTGTAAGTAATGTTTTTCCTAAAAAAAATATGTTTTCCCTTTTCTTCTAGAAGTGTTATAGTTTGAGCCCTTATATTTAGGACTGTGACCCATTTATAGTTCATTTCTGTGTTCGCTGGGCAGCAAAGGTCCGACTTTATTCATTTGCACGTGGATATCTAGTTGTCCCAATGCCACTTGTTGAAAAGACTGTCTCTTCCCTGTTGAATTTGCCTTTGTCAGAATCAGTTGATCATGAATGTAAGGGTTTATTTCTGAACTGTCAATCCTGTTCCCTTGACCTATCAATACACCAGCACCACATTGCCTTAGTTACTGTAGCTTTATAGTAAGTTTTGAAATTGGAAAAGTCAGTTCTTGATTTTGTTATTTTTCAGAATTGTATTAGCTATTTTGAGTCCTTTACATTTTCATATAATCTTGAGATCAGCTTATCATTTTCTGCAAAAATAAAAGTCATCTTGGAATTTGATAGGGATTGTGTTGGATCAATTCAGAAAGAATTGCTATCTTAACAATATTGAGTCTTCCAATCCATGAACATGGAATGTCTTTCCATTTTTTAAAATCTTTTAAGTTTTTCTCAGCTGCATTCGTTGTATAGCTTCCAGCACACAAGTCTTGCATTTCCTTTGTTATTTATGTCTAAGTATTTTACTCCTTTGATGTTATCGTGACAGGAATTCTCTTAATTCCATCTTCAACTTGTTGGTTGCTAGCATGTAGGCACACAGTTGACTTTTATAGGTTGATCTTGTACCTCATGTCCTTGAAGGTCAGTATTTTTGTGAGTTAGAGGCACCTACAGTGTCACCAAGGGAACCACAGGTCCTTGGGAGCTCCCAGCCCTGTGTCCTACACGCTACAGGGGCCTACCCTTGCACCCCTCTTTGCCTCATGAGCACATCCAAGAGTAAAGGTCAGTTCACTGAAGGGCAGTACCTAACTCTTGACCAGGTCCATTTGAAAGTTATTTAAACCAACTGAAATCTGAACTCCTGGACCTTCTGCCTACTGGTCTGCATCTGCTCTCTGAGGTGAGGCAAACGTTTGCATTTCCCCTGAGACGAGACCGCCTCGCCCGGCCCCTTCCCTGTGGCCCCAGAGCTCTGAGACCAGCCAACCGTCTGTCCTGTAAGTGAGGGCCCAGTGGACAGTAGGACCATTGCCTCCTGTCACCTGAACACCATGGTCCTCTTTACTGCAGCCTAGCACTGCACCTCTTTCTTGGTGTCCACATAACACCTTCTCCCCAGAAATATATCTTTACGCCCAAATAGCCATTAATTGGAGGTTTGATGGGTTTTCCTGCTGCTGTGTATCTACAATGCCTTTGGAGTGTTTGGTAGGTCTCCTCCTGTGGCAGAGGAGTGGAGGCAAGTGGCTCAGGCTCCAGGCTTGTCCTGTGCTATCTGAGCTCAGTGCGGTGGGAACGTCTCCGTCAGTGCATGGCTGCCGGAACAGCCTTTCCCAGAGACGGGACACTCCCATTGGTGGGGTGCAGAATGATTCTAGGAAATACATGGGACTCGACAGTAAATAACATCAACTCACAGCGAGAAAATACTGTTTTCTAAGTGTCTTCAAATCTCTGATTGTGGCAAAGAGCAAGTCTGCTAGTGTCAGTATGTCTTTAACACCTTTAACCCTTGGCAATCCAACCAGCTCCCCTGCTACTTTTCTAAATGAAGAGCAAGCCATGGGAAAATAGCAGAACTTAATACTACTCTCTTTTTCACTGTATGTACATTATTCATGGCAAGGGATAGTTTTCCACTTACAGTGACATTATAAAGTTGTCTTTCAAATTAAATGAGGCAAAGTATTAAATGAATTAGAGGTAGTGTACAGGTGGCCCAGATGAAGGTGGTTTGGGATATCCTACAAGGGGGATGCACCACAGGTGGGGGGCATGCCGGGTGCCCACGCCCCAGCCAGGCCACGGGGTCTGCCGTGACCTTGCCATGTCCACACTCTGGGAGCCACAGCGCCAGGCGCGTGGGTGGCCGTGGACACTAACCTCGGTGCTCGGCCCTCCTGCAGGTGCGGCGGGCTGGGGCTGGTGTTGGCCAGCGCAGGCTTCGGCATGCTGACGGCGCCCATCATCGAGCTGCACAACCAGAAAGGCTACTTCCTGCACCACATCATCTTCGCCTGCTGCACGCTCATCTGCATCATCTGCATCCTCCTGCTGCCCGAGAGCCGGAACCAGAGCCTGCCCGAGAGCCTCTCCAATGGGGAGCACTACACGCGCCAGCCGCTCCTGCCGCACAAGAAGGCCGAGCAGCCGCTGCTGCTCACCAACGCGGAGCTCAAGGACTACTCGGGCCTCCACGATGCCGCGGCCACGGGGGACGCGCTGCCCGACAGCGCCGCCGCCAACGCAGCCAACGGCCTGCGGTCCTGCGGCTCTGCGCGCGGCCTGCCCTGAGAGACCTGGGCCCGTGGGGTGGCTGCGCGCAGGGTCACCGAGGGACCAGACATGTGGCTGCGAGCACACGTGGCTCTGCCGGGCTCACCGGGCACCGACGCCGCGGGAGCACAGGACCTTCGCTGGTGTGGGGGGATTCTTTCCAAAACGCTAAGGATCGTGTGAGGAAGCAGACTCTTTGGAAATAAGACTTTCTTTTCTGCCATTAAATGTTTGTATTTATTTTGGTCATTTTTACGAGAAGCACTTTATTCCCTTTCCTCTCACTGATCTTGAAATAGAACCACCCCCTTTGAAAGAGGGACCTAGTCTCCCGCCGGCAGCAGCCAGATGCCCCCAGGGCTGCCAGCTGTGCGCAGACACCACGTGAGCAGTTCAGACTGCGCCATGCTGACATGTAAACAATGAGGTGTCCGCCAGAGAGGCTGATGGTCTGAAAGGTTTTGTGTTTGTAGGGTGTGAGCTTCTGGTCCATGTTTTGGGAGAAAGCAGCTCACGAATGTCATTAAAACCAGCTTAATCTTTCCTTCAAGATCATGCTTTTGTACTGGATGCTGGAAACTCTTTGGGGAAAAGCTTCAACATGTCACCACAAATCGTAAATGACCCGTGGCAGTGTTGCCAGTTTTCTAACGCAAGTTTGCCTGGTTCAGTTCACGACTAGATGCGCTGAGGTGTAAGGCATTTAGCATTAATGCTTTCTCAGATTCAGCTCCGGGGGAAAAGCTCCCTCCATCAGCTTTTCCAGCACTACCTGAAAACACGCTACTTTCTGATGGGAAACCAATGGGACAAGAACTGAAATAGAGGACTAAGGCAAACCCACAGAGGGTGGGTGCTCTCCCAAAGACAGCGCATGCACATCTGGAGCACACCACACGGCATCACCAGCTTGGATGACTGTCCGCTCCCACTGATTTCACGCTGAGACTGCAAACCTGTGGGAGCCGGTCCCCCTCATGCCTGCCTTTGCCTGCTTCCTGCTTCCTCCCCCTTCCCTCAGCACAGAGGTGGGGTTTGGGGCAAGCAGTGGGATGCTCATAGGTTAGTCCAACTGACCTCCTGCCTCTCTTAAAGCTTCAAGACCCATTGAGAGGAAGCAATAACTCCCCAAAGTTCAACTCCCATCTCCAATAGCCAAGGGTTGTCACTGACTTCATTGCTTGTCCCAGACAGTGCAGGCTTCCTCGTCCCTTTCACATCAGGCATTCTCACCTGTCTGAGGGTGTTTCAGAGGAAGCTTGGAGGGCCTCCGCAAGGACACGCCGGGGGGCCACTAAGGAACAAGCTTCATTGGCGCAGGCAGGCGCCCCCTTGAGCAACATAGGCACCTGATTTTCCAGACAGCCTGGGTCCTTTCTAGGATTGTCCACCCACCCCACCCCCCACTTTGTGACATGTGTCTTTGTCATGGGCTGTGTTTTCCCCAGGAAATCATAGTCTCGGGCCTGTGACTTAGGTGACCTCCAACTGACAGTTGCTAGAACTCAAAGGGCCTGAAAAGGGGTTGGCTTAACTTCCCTTTCTCCCCTTCTAGCTCTCTACCTGGCCTGTTTCTTACTGTCTCCGCCCACCACTCCCCTCTGAACCTGGTGGACTTCAATAGGAACTGGTGACTTGATAAAAAAAAATATGGTGAGGAGGTGAAACTTGCAAGTGTATGTGACTCCAGTGACTAAACTGTACTTTCTGTCGAATCAACGGGGTCTGGAGTCTCCAGCCGCGTCCAAGGGCCGCTGCCTAGGAAGAAGGCCACCTGGCCAGTCTCCCTATTTCAAGCCCCACTCATCCTCACCTCTCATCTCTTAGGTCACTTCTGTTCCATGTTTCCATGTGAGTCTACATTCACCTTACTTTACAAAGGCCTTTCTTTACAAACGTGCAGCCTCCGCGTGCCAAACTTGTTGAATACCTTCTGCCTTTTATAGAGTACTTGCGACAAGCCACCTGGCAGCAAGACCCATTAATCCAGGACATGACATATGCAGCCGCCAAGCTCCTGAGCAGTTGAGGAAGGTGGGTAGGAGCCAGTGAGGTCCTGGGTCTGCACCTGGCCAGGTGTATGTCTGCATCACCCCAGCACCAGGGCACCTTGCAGTCCCCTTACTGTACTACGGAAGTATTGTAGCATTCTCTCACTGATCGCAGAGGCCTCCCTTAAAATGTGATGGAGCTGCAGAGTGCTGCCGGTAATCTCTAGGAAGGCGGAGGGAAGGCACAGCACTTACAAACTCCTGTTCCTCTTCAGGGTTAGGCTGAGCTCCTCTTCTGTTGCTGGGTTAGCTTAAGAATATCTGAAGCTCTTAAGGAACACCTTTATCAAATGTAGCCAAAGCAGAAAAGCTTCCCTGTGGGCTGAGCCCTGTGAAATTCCACACCAAGTGGGCAAGGAGGCCAGGGCCCACTGAGCCTGACACACGTCCAGTCCCGCCTTGCTCTGCATGGGAAGGGGCTGCAGCCACCAGCTCCCTAGCACCTATTGGTCAAGCTTGGACTCCTCAGTCCTATTTCCTTCGTGGTCAGTAGGGAAACAGTTCACAGACACCTGCCATTTCAAGTCCACTTTCCCATCACCTCCTACCCGCCCAGGGAGTCACCTCCAGGTATGTGCTGCAGCCACTCTCCTCCACCAGCCACTCTTGCATCCTGCTATCCTATCGGGGAGCTGTAACCCCTTTCAATAAGTTATGCACAAATGTGAACGCCTGAGGCAGGGCTGGACAGCTCTTCATCTGTTCTTTTCCAGAAGTCAATCAACTCAGAGCAAGTACCCTAAGTACTAGCACCCAAGTCAAATAGGGAAAAGTTTTAAATCTTTTGTTTTCTAAAAGAGTATAATTACTTGCAACTAGAGGAAAGGGGCTGGTAAGTTGTTTTGGCCACAGAACAGAAAGCAAAAATGGACGTCGTAAAGGAAGTACTGCACTCAAACAATACCACTTCCTAGAGCCAAACAAGAAATGACTGAAGTGCCATTAAATGAATTGTGACCATCGCACCTCCCAGCCCCTAGGTGGCGCACGCGCGCGCGCACGTGCTGGGGAAAGCCCACGCTTCACTTTCAAAGGATGCCTCGCTTTGCTGTAGTGTTTTGGAAAAGCAGCAGTGTGTTCTGTCCAGTGGGGATATTCCCTCTGTCCTTTCTGCCGCCCCAACATTTGAGGTTCCTAGTCAGAACCGTGTTACTGCACATCCACCGGGCTCACTCTGGAGGTGCTCATTCATAGCACAAGCCTATCGAGTTCTGAACTGTGTCGTTCAAAGATAATGTCTGCATGATGTCACATCTGTTGTACCTTTGAGGAAAATTTGTATGTAAATGTACAGAAATAAAAATGTTGCCCCATTAACAAATTTCCTCTGGAATGTCTTCCCTACCTCATCTGATGGTATCCAATGAAGGGCATTTCATGACCATTGACTACAAGTAATAAAAACTCTTTATTCAGACCTTGCTGAGTCCCTGTCTTAGCGCCTCTGTGAACCGAGTCTTCACTCGGCCTGGGAGGGGTGGGTGGCCCTCATCTGCTTGCAGAGTCCTGGTCTTAAAGGCAGGCAGAGGCAGAGAGGATTAAACACAGACTGTTTATTCAGGGCCAGTCTAAACCACCTGAGAAATGGGGCCATCAGTAAATTTGAGAGTTCTTTTCTCTTGTGTATTGATGTCCTGCTAATCTGTGACCTGCAAGTTCCCAGAAAGGTTGAGAAATGATTATCTGACACTGTGATTCTATAAGGAAAGACTGATAACCAAAACCTTCTTCTCTAATGTAGTATTTTTTCACAAGAAAACAATGTTTCTTTAATAAAGTTTTATACCAAACTCTTCTCTCCATAGCCCTGATTTTGTGTTACTTACTCTTCCTAGAGAGGGTGCCCACTGAGCTCTCAGCTCGGTGACACTGGCTGAGGCCTGGGCGGCTAGCACAGGAAGTCTGCTAAGGAGGGAACATCTTAAACCCCACACCTACTGCTCTGAAATGCCTTTATGTCCCAGCCACAATGTCACCACCCCCGGCTGCTTACCCCGGGCTCAATGCTTTTACCACTGCATGAAGTGTTAGAGCCCTGGACTACCAGCCTCCAATGACAAAACGGGTCCGGGTGGGCTCCAAAGACTAGCAAGTGTTTGGCCAGTGGTCCTCTGGCTTGCCTGTGCTGAGCACCTGGGAGCTTTTCAACCCAACGCCTGGACCCCAGGCCATCAGCGTCTTGGGCAGGGGGAGGCGTAAGCAGCCTGTGAGAACTCCCCCACAGATGTGAATGTGAAGCCAAGCTTTGGAGCCACTGACCCAGGAAATACTGTCCTTTGGGAAAAGGAGTGAAAAAACAAGCAAAATGTGTAGCATATGGTACTGAGTCGGTGCTTTCCTGAGCAGGAGGCAAGGGTCATTTCTTTCCTGGGTTCTTGTCCAGGTAGATTCAAAGAATAAGGCCACAGACAAAAGGTGGTAGATGAAAAGGTGGAAATTTATTGGAAACAAGTACAAACTCCCACGTAGGGAGGAGGGCCCCAAGGGGTAGCCCACTAAGCTCCTTCTTCCTAAGGATTATAAAGGCTGCAGTTCTTTGTTTCTTGTTGCTGCCTTCCAACTGGTCACTATATCAGCTTCAAAGCTCAAAACCCACATGGTGCCCCCCTTTAATTCTCCCCCTTCAGTGGTGGAATTCGCTATCTCCTGTGAAAATCTGTTCCTTCTCCCATTTGTCAGCATTTCTCTATCTCTGTGGAAGTCTGTTTCCTCTTTCTCCCCATACCCTGTGGCTTTTCCCTGTCTTCTGTGAATGGATGTCTTCTCCCTTATCCGGTGGCACCTTTTATTCTCTGTGAATATATGCCTTTTGGCAGCTCCAAGTCCACAACCAACTATGTCTTCCTCCCGCATGGACCCCCTAATTCCTAAAACTCCCTACACTTGCCTATTTTACCCCTAAAAACTCCTTTCAGTACTAAAAAGATTAGAATCTACTTCAAGTGGTAGGCAGAAAAAGGCTAAGGATTAAAGATGACCAAAACAGGTACTTGGGACTTGGGGGGGAAAAGAGAGAGAGAAGGAGAAGGAAAAGACAATGGGAACAGGAGGGCAAGCATTTGGATCCACATGTAGATAAAGCCATAACTGACTCTTCATTGCCATTGCACTTATAGTTTGCAAAGTATTTCTGTGCAGTTAATCCTGGCACTAACCCAGCAGAATGAAGATCATTCCCATTCTGTAGGTGAGGAAACAGGGCCCAGAGAAGTGAGAGACTTCACCAAGACCACAAGTCTAGTGAGCCGTGCGGAGCGGGGCTCCGACCCAGGTCCGAGGGTGAGCACAGCAGAGAGACGTGCCAGGGAAGGCTTATCATCTCCCATTTTAACTGGGAATGGACACAACAGAGTCACAACGAATTTAACCCTTCAGTCTTTTTAGCCCCCTTCACAACAAAATCCCATCTGAACCCCTTTTCTCCATCATTGAGCAGTCACAAGGCAACTACTGCCCATTTTGCTTTTCTTCTTCCCAGGTTTGATCAATGACAGCCTTTTGGACCACAGTCTGGTGAGGAAGAAGAAGAATAAATAAGATTAACCCTTTAAAGACAAAATGTAAACACATTAACCTGGTGACAGTGGAATTCAACTCATTTATTTAAATGTATATTGTACATAGTTAGAAATTCTCACTTCCGCCTCAGCTAGAACTTTTCCGGAAAAGCCTCCATTTCTTCCTTGATCCTGTTTTCTACAAGTAATGCGAAGTTATTGTCTGTATTTTGTAGGTTATAGCTGACAAACACCTGCTTGTTGGTCTTCCGGGCTAAAAAGAGAAAACACATTGACACAGCCATGACTGAAATATCTAAGACTCTGTGCCTCGGGCGGACCTTACAGCTGAGCAATACGGGGGGGGAAAGACAACGGGCTTTCAGGGGGAGGAGAAAGTTCTGGTTTTTATGACCTCAGAGGCAGCTGCTGCAAATGCAGACTAAAGTCTTTGGGACCGTTCTAAGTCTCTAGAACAGTGGCTCTTCAAGTGTGGTCCCCACAGCAGCAGCATCCCCGGGGAACTCATCAGAGACACACATGCTCAGGCCCCACCCCCAGGCCAACGGGATCAGAAAGGCTGGGCTTGCGGCCAACACTGATGTCCACAGACCTCCAGGGATCCGGATACTAATGTTTAAGAACCACTGTTTGTTTCACTTTTCAAAAAACACCAATAATCCTACATTTCTCCATTTCTGTGTGTACCCACGCAGATACACACGCACATGCATATTTATATGTGTGGGCAAATACACATACACACACAAATATCTAATTTTCAATTTGATGTTGGCTATGTTTGAGCCCCTTTCTGCAGAACAATAGTAATTAAGGTGTACAGCTCCAACTGCAGAAATCAATATGAAAGATGAGACAAGACATCCTGAGGACAGCCGGGCAGCAAGTCTAAATCAGCTAAATAGTATAACTGCACCAGAGCTGGGGCCTCCTCCCTCGGCCTCACACCACACACAGGGCGGTTACAGACTCCTCCCCACAGAGGCACGCATCCACACTCCCATCCCACGGACTTCAGATGACCACGCCAACCCAGCATCAAAGGCAGAGAGGTGGTCAGGAGAGGTGAGACTGGGATACCGGCCCAGCCTGCCCTCATTCAGAGGGCGGGAAATTCCCTGTCCACCAGAAGGGCTGCTCTGATTCCAATCTAATTGCTAAGACAGGGTCTTACAGGGAGCAAGACTGTGCCCGCCGCATTGTCTGCCCATCAGACCCAGCCAGCGCTGCCCTCCAGAGCCACACAAGGGGGGTTCTCATCCACACCGCAGCCTCCAATGCTTCCAGGGTTACCCTGAACCCTCTATCATCTCTTTTCTCACTTCTTTTCATCTGTTTGGGACCCTGCTCTCTTCTCATTACCCCTTCTAGACAAAGCCCCCAACATTTGCGCAAACTAAAAAAGAAAAAGAACCTGCCCTGGCCAGTGTTGTTCAGTGATTAGAGTGTCAGCTGGGGCACCTAAGGATCTCGGGTTCAATTCCCAGTCAATGGCACAAACCTGGGTTGCAAGTTTGATCTCCGGCCCCAGTTGGGGCACCTGTGGGAGGCAACCAATTGAAGTATGTCTCTCACATCAAAATCTCCCTCTCTCTCTCCCCACTCCCTTCCACTCTCTCTAAAAAGAAAAAAATCCTCAGATGAAGATTAATAAAACAAAAAATCAAAAGAACCCTATTTTTTTTGCATACAAACTACTATTAGCCCTCCATCTCAAGGACACATCTTCCTTTTTGGCACAAAAAACATGGCGCACCAAATGCGTGCCCACCACCCTGCACTACCAGTCTGTCATCCACACTGTGGTGACCCACCAGTTTTCTGGCCCAGAACTATGAACACCCTCATCTTCACTGTGTCGGGCAGGCACACAGTGGTCTGTGACATGAATGTTACCCCTTAAACACTGGCAATACCCAGTGAAACATGTGGAACAGTCATGTCTTCAACCTACTTTCACATGGTTCAGTAAAAACAATGACGTGAACATAGGAACAGTAACAACTGGGAATCTGGGTGGGGGCTAAACAGGAATGCTGGAGCTAAGCAGGAATGTTCTGTATTTTTTCTTGCAACTTTTCTATAAATTTAAAATTACCTTCTAATACGAAGTTACCAAACAACTTACTAGTCAGGTTTCTCTAATTTCAGGCTAAAGAAAAGGTACAGTGATGTTCCCAAAATGCTGCAGCAGCTACCCTCGTGGCCTCACCCTGTCATGCTCAGAACTGTGTGGCGAGTCTAGAATGGCCTCTCCTCAACCTGCCCCTGGCACCTGTGTGCCACCTGAACTGTGTGGGTGTTCTGTTTACCAGGGTGCCTTCCATACTGACTTGTTTCCACTTTTCAGGGATTAAGTGGATAGAACTGTCAATACCAATAAAACACAGGGGCTGGGCCCCATCCACTGCACACGCCCAGCACCAGTACATCTGAACCAGCTGGGAACACTGGTGATCACGAAGACTGAGCGGCCACAGAGGCGGCCCTACTGTTCAAGGCCCTGGCACCTGGATGGCCAGGTGACCGCGCACACTGGCCGAGGCGGCACACATGCTGTCCTCACCCGGACTGCCTGGGTACTTACAGAAGTGTGTCTGGGGTGTGGGAGAGAGGGAACCTTCAGCTTCAGGCTCTTGCTTCACACCCACCCTTCACCACACTGAGGCCAGGCCAGTCTCCCTCTGAACGCTGACGGCATCCGGGAGTGTAGGACAGTCCCTCCTGCAGGGGCTGGCTCACTGCTCCACGGGCTCCACTGACTCCCAGAGCCCAGGAGGCTCCTGCAGCACTGCCCTCGGCACAGTGGCGCCCTTCACACTCGCCCGCACCAGAAGTAACGTGCTTACAGAAGGACCTGAGTCACCCGTCCCTCATAAGCTTGGGCAGCAGCCAGGGCACGACATGGGAGTCCCCTAGGCACAGGCTGATCTGAGACAGTGGTGGGACCATGTGATAGGGATGTGCCTCCTAAAGGAGACACAATACACCAAGGTCTGGGCTTACTCTGCCGTGATGAGTTGATTTATCTCTTGACATAAAGATTCACCTCTAAAGTGACTTGCCTCACGATTCCACACAGCGAGGCCCCATCTGGCCGCACCTGCAGCCGCTATGGGTACGTACCTAAGCGCTGGGCAAGGCCAGTGGAGGTCGTGTCCGAAGTGTCTCCGAGGAGAGAGGTGGACACAGGGATGGAGTCCTGAAAGGAAAACAGAGAGTGCGATGCGGCTTCTCCTCAGCTGAACTTCTGCCACTGCTGAGTCTTCACGCGGGCGGCAGTGGAGGTACTGGGAGGTCAGACACATCGGCCAAGAGGAGAAGGCCTGGCATCGGTGTCAGCAGCCAGGCGGCTGGCCCTCTACGCTATGAGCTCACACAGCGGGAGAGATGAGGAGCAGCCACCTGACACTGGCATCGCCGTGCTGACGATAGTTCTAGGAGTTGTTTCACACTAAGGGCGTGGTTTAGTGCTGGAAATTCCAAAGCATGCTGACGGGCAACATCACAACCAAGATGGAAGAAAACAAGATATTAAGGCCAGAGCTAAAAGGAGGCTATCGGAGTCTGGGTGCCACGTGCCTGCGGGCCCTCACCCTGGCAGCCAGCAGCAGAGGAGGCAGGACACCTACCTCCTCACCTGACGGAGAACCACAGCTCCATTCCCCGAAGGGTGTCTGGGCTCTTCAAGTGCACAAAGGCCCCGTGACTCTGCAAAAGGGCACCAGCCATCAGTGTCCAAATAATGAAAATAAAAACTTCTGGCTATACTTGGTCAATTCTCATTTCAGATAAGAAGCCATAAAACTAAAGATAAGTAAATGTGGCCCCTTTGAAATCCAAAGATAATCTTACTTTCAATCACAAAATGGAAGTAATTCCCCTTCCCATTAAAAAGGCCTCGCTGAAAATGAAAAACCCACTGTCTTATAATGCGGCCAAAATTCCTTTTACTGTGTGCAGTGCACAGACCAGAGCCTGCTTCTATCTCCTAAGGGTTCAAGTTATTTCAGTGCAAGAGAGAATTCGTTTAGGTCACAAAAGATGAAAATAAAAACATTCACTTCATGATTTTTCCTTGAGAAAGATACAAAAATGTGATCTTAATGAATTTGCTGTTTACAGATTTCAAGTTCAACATTTTAACTGTTAATAGTATTTACAGTTAAACCTCCTGAAAACAGAAAACCTACCTTAACAGGGTGACCTTTTCTGATCAGAAACAAAACTAAAAACCCACACTGTTACCCTTTTCTCCACTTCATTATTTCTGAAATCGCACTGTGTGAAGCTGATCTCCCAGGTAGACACATGCGTAGACGGCTTTACTGCGGCCAGAGGACCACCTTCCACTCACCCAGGCGCATCCTAGTTCTCTGAGCACAAAGGGTCCCCCACCCCATCTCCCCGGTCCCAAGCCGCTTCCCTCCTGCCGCTGGGGCCCTGCAGCTTCTCTGGCATCACACAGAGCTGCTGGCTGCAAGGCAGGCCAGCTGGACGAGCAAAAGTTGTATGGTTTTGTTTTACATAGTCTAGTCTTACATGTGGGGATTTTGGGGAAGGGAAGAGGGAGAGACCTCACAGACCCTTTGGAGCCGTCCCCGGCTCATGGGCCAGTAAATGTTTTCTAAGAAGGGCCAGATGGTAGGCAGACAGTTTAGTTTTTATAGACAACTGCTCAACTCTGCCATCGGAGTGCAAAAGCTGTCAGACCCTATTAAGGATGGGCATAGCTGTGTTCCAATAAAACCCTAACACAAAAGGAGACGCGAGCCAGCCCGCAGGCTGCGGTGTGCGAGCCCCGGTCCACTGGAACCTCGTTTCCCTGCCCTAAGCTATGGCCTACACCTCTTCTCTCCAGCTGGCCCAGTCCTCTGCCCCTGGAGGACAATGCCTAGGCACACTGTGGCCAGTCAATGGGAGTGGTTCTTTTTCCTTTTCCCCAATCTTGATGTTAGGTGACTTTCCAGCTGAACAAATACACCCCACTAAGAGCTATGGCTAGCAAGTGGTGAGACTACCATGGCTGCCCACAGCCGGAGCCTTGAAACCGATTCCAGGAATCGATGCCTGGTCTTACCCCATGGACCCACACCTTAGGGTTAGGAAAGAAGGTGAAGTGGCTCCAGGGCACCATGTTCTCCAAACACAGAGCACAGCCCATAACCCCCTGCCCCTCTGTGTGAAGCTGGCTCTCTTCCTCTCCTCCAATGAAGGAAGACCTGGAATTGCCACCTGCCCAAAGGCCCACCTGCTGGTACCCACTGGAAATGAAAAAAAAGAAAACACACCAGAAAAAGAACAGCGAGAAGGAAAAGCCTATGAGAAGGGCAGCCAGAGGGAAGAGGGATACTGTATGAGGCCCATCCAGAGGCTGTCTCCTTCCCAAAGCTTTGCCCAGCTCCTGCCTGACGGCTCACTCCTCTCATTTCCCACCATCCCTGGGGCCCCTCAGAGGTTACCATTCTTATTGCCTGGCTGCCTGGGGTTACTGTCAGTCCCCTCTAGCAAAAGGAGAATTCCCCAAGGGTTCCTCACGCATTCATTCAACAAGAATTTAACAAGCAGCTTGTCATAAAACAGACAAACCCCAATACCCACAAAACTGCAGAGGGAGCAACAGCTGGGGGCATGCCAGTGTGCCAGAGCAGCCAAGGGGCCAGGGAGCGGGCAGGGAGGAGGCCCCGCAGGGGCGCTCTCCCAGGTAACAGGGCCTGGAGGGTCACTGTAAAGTCTCTGGACTGCGCTCTGAGTTTCTTTCTGGAAAGGTCTGGAGGAAGGGAATGGCAGTATCTAACTGCAGGCACTGTTGTGGGTTGAACTGTGTCCTCCAAAAAGTTATGTCCGTGTCCTAACCCCTTGTACCTGTGTATGGGACTTCATTTGGAAATAAGGTCTTTGCAGGAATAATTAAAATGTAAGTTAAGACGAGGTCTCACTGGAGTAGGGTGGACCCTTAATTTATTATGACTGATGCCCTTATAAGAAGACACACAGAGGCACTCGGAGAAGAAGGCCACATAACACTGGAAGCAGAGACTGCAGTGATGAGGCCACAGCTGAGGAACACCAAGGACTGCCAGCACACCAGAAGGTGGCATGGCCCCTCCCTTGGAGCCTCAAGGAGCCAGCCCTGACAACACCTTGATGGCAGACTTCTGGCCTCCAGAACTGAGAGAACAAATCTCTGTTGTTATAAGCCACCTAGTTTGTTACAGCAGCTCTAAGAAACTAATACCGAAAGAAGGGGGCGGGGGGCGGGGCGGGGGGAGGTAAATCAGCCAAAGAGGGGAGATGCTGCAAGCTTGGCAGGGGTGGCAGAGGTAAGGAGGTGACAGGTGATTAGATTCCCTATGTTGTTTTTTAAGGTGTAGTTGACACAATATTATATTAGTTTCAGGTGTGCAACATAGTGATTTTACATTTGTATACCTTACCATATGATCACCACAATAAGCCTCATCACATACCCATGACTTATGTTATTTTTAAGTGTATTTTTATTTATTTCAGAGAGGAAGGGACAGGGAGAGAGATAGAAACATTAATGATGAGAAAGAATCATTGATCAGTTGCATCCTGCATGCACCACACTGGGGATTGAGCCCGAAACCCAGGCATGTGCCCTGACCGGGAATTGAACTGTAATCTCCTGGTTCACAGGTAAATGCTCAACCACTGAGCCACACCAACTGGGCATGTTTTATTTACTTTATAACAGGAAGTTTGTACCTCTTTTTTAGCTTCACCTTTTTTCACCCATGCCCCACTCCACTCCCTCTGGGACATCAGTTTATTCTCTGTAAGGGCAAGTCTGTTTCTGTTTTGTTCTGTTTGTTCTTTTTGTTTGCTTGTTTTCAGATTCCACATAAGTGAAATCTTACTGTATCTGTCTTTCTCTCTCTGATTTACTTAACAGTGACTCGTCTATGTTTTGACTGACAGCAGGGCTCACAGTCACCGCCATAGGTGTGGAGTGTGGGCGAGGTATCGAGGATAGTCCTCGGGTCCGTGGAGTCGCCGCACAGAGGCGCTGGCTGTGAGAGGGGCAGGGTTAGGGAACAAACAGGTCAAGGGCTTGGTCTTGAATATGCCTATTGTGCCTACGATTAGACTTCCAAGTAAAGACACAGGAGTCTGAAGTTCAGGAAAGAGGTCCGTACTGAAACACATAAATGTCGGTGGGCCAATACAAAGGGGGCGTGAACGCTAAGATGCCACCCCCAGGGCGCGCTGTGACGGGGAGCAGAGGACTCACGATGGAGCCCTCGGACACTGCAACTACAGAGGCGAAGGAGAGATGGAGCCCGCGGGGTGGAGGGGGGGCCCGCGGGGTGGCGGGAGCGCCGGGGAGGGACCCGCCGGAGGTCCCACGTGCTGGCCTGACCGCGCACGGCACCCCTCCGGGTGGTGCTGGTGCGGACCTACCCCGTGCCCCCGACATCACAGGAAGAGCTCGGGAGACCAGCGGCTCACGCCCGCAGGCCTGGAGGAACCGAGCCTGCGGTCTCCTCGACGGGCACCGGGTGCGCGCCCTGAGGCCCCCACGGCGCCAGCCGCCTCGCCGTCCCACCGGCCCAGCCCCGCTCCCGCCACGGGTCCGGCCGCCCAGGGGCCGCCCCCACCGTGTCCCGAGCACCCCTCTCCCGCCTCCCAGTCGCCCCAGCCCTCCGCACTCACGTAGCGGCTGCACATGGCCACGGCCAGGTTGCGCAGGTGCGGCGTGGCCCCCACCCACAGGAAGAGCGAGTCCGTCAGCCGCATGACGTGGAAGTGCACCAGCTGCTCCCACAGCCTCGCGCTGAAGTTGTGCAGGGAGACGTCCCCGCCGGCGGCGGCCTGCGGCCCCTCCATGCCGCCGGCCGCCCGGCCCGCCAGCCCGCGACCCTTCCCGCCGCTGCCGCGGGTCCCGCCAGACCCGAGCAGAAGAGCGCCGAGCGGCCGAGCGCGCCTTCGCTTTCTTCCCCGGGGAAGTGGGCGGGGCCTGGGGCGGGGCCATAGAGGGCGGGGCCTGGGGAGGGTCGGAGGGGCGGGGCCATGGAGGACGGGGCCTGGCAGCCCCCCCCCCCCCCCCCTCGCCTTGCAGACCGAGCGGTGGCCGCGCTGTCCAGCAGGCCTCGCCCGCGCTCCTGTACAGTGTTGGACGCGGGGAAAACCCGCTCTCGTCACTCACAGGGGCAGGGCCGGCCGCCGTGGTTAAGGGAGCCCCGAGCGCCCGCCTGGATTTGCCACTCACGAGCTGGAGCCTGGAGCAGCGTCCTCCCAGGTCGTGACAGGCCAACAAAGACAACCCTGTTTTACTCACTAGCAGCGGTTCTCAACCTGTCGGTCGCGACCCCTTTGGCGGTCGAACGACCCTTTCACAGGGGTCGCCTAAGACCATCCTGCATATCAGATATTTACATTACGATTCATAACAGTAGCAACATTACAGTTATGAAGTAGCAGCGAAAATAATTTTATGATTGGGTCACAACATGAGGAACTGTATTTAAAGGGCCAGAAGGTTGAGAACCACTGCTCACTAGTTCCTTAAGCACTCTGAGAGCACCCAGCATACCATCTGGTTTGGATTATCAAAATCCACCCCCTGCTAGTAGCCCTGTAATTCCAGGGAAGCCTTGAATGTGTATACCCTTTAGAAGGGCAACGATGTTGGGAGAAAGCCTATAAAAAGTTGTTGGGAGGATGGGTAGACAGTTTCAGACCCTCCTAAGCTGTAATTGTGTATAAGCGCGGGCTTTGGACTAATCTTTGAACCTCTCTGAGACTCAGAGACCTCATCTACAACATGGACATAAGAATGGCTACCTCTCAGAGCAGTGGGAAGGGTTATGAGCAAATACATGGAAAGTAGAGGATGGTGGCCATCATCATCCCAGCTGAGGGACCCTTTAATTTTAGTCACTTTGAGACACTACAGAGTTGAAATAAGGAAGCCTTCAGTGTGTTAAGAAGGAAGGTTTGAAAAAAGAAAGAGAGAGAGAAAGACAAAGAAAGAATATTTGTGGAAAAAGCAAACAGGGCCCATTTTGTCAGATTCTGTTACAACTGAGTGTTGGGTTTTAAGTCAGAACTATCACAGTTCTTTAAAAAGTTATACTTTTAAAATCTCTAATAAGTCTAAGTTGATTAAATTAAAAATGTTAAGGGTATTTTTATAAGTTTGTTCTATTTGCTAATTATCAATAATTCAATAGTATAGTTAACTAGAGGCCTGGTGCATAAAATTCATGCACAGGTAGGGTCCCTAGGCCTGGCTGGTGATCAGGGCCGATCAGGTTCCCTGCCTCCCAGCCTCCCTGACTCCAGGTCTCCTGGTAGAACTCCCCAGGGGACTATTTGCATATTAGCCTTTTATTATATAGGATTTTCAGGTCACTTTTTAAACAGTTTTGTTAAGGTATAATTGACATATAATAACTGTGCATTTAAAGTATACAAATCAAAGTTTTGACACATATATAACCCATAAAACCATGGCTATAATCAAAGTGGTGACTGTGTCCACCACCCCCAAAGGTTTCCTTAAGCCCCTTGTTAATCTTCCTGCCTCTCCCCCAACCGCTGACCTGTATTTTGTCATTACACTGCCTAGAGTTTTATATAAATGGAATAATACAGTATTTACCATTTTTGTCTGCTTTTTCACTCACCATAATTATTTTGACATTTATCTAGGTTGTTGGTTGTATAAATAGTTAATTCCTTATGGCTTAGCAGTATCCTATTGTGTGGCTGGCTACACCACTATTTATTTGTCCATTAACATGTTGATGTTCACTTGGGCTATTTCCCATTTGGAGATATTACAATAAAACTGCTATCAATGCATGTATACAAGTATTCTCTGTATGGACATATGCTTTATTTCTTGCAGAAAAGTACTTAGAAGTAAAATGGTTGTGTCATATGGTAGTTATACGTGTAACTTTTCAAGAACTGTTTCTAATGAACCTCAGTTCACATTTCACATCACACACAAAAGCAAATTCAAATGACTTATAGACCTAAACACAAAACCTAAGACTACAAAACTTCTAGAAGAAAACCTTTGTGGCCTTTATTTAGAAAAATATTTCATAGATAAAACACCAAAAGCATGATCCATAAAAGAATAAATTTATAAATTAAACTAATGGAGCAGGTGATCTCACCCACACCTCAACTCTAATATCCTTAATGCTTTCTCCCCTAGAAAACAAACACAATTTTTAAAATGGAGAGCTTATATCTGAAGAATCTTAAAAACTGTCTGGGGAAACTAAATAGCTAACACCCTATTGCCTCACTCTCCTCCCCCACATTCACCCAGCACAAGTTGGAGCATGCTCCTCTGTACTCCTATGTCTGGGCTCTGAGCACTGCTGGGACCCAGTCATGCTGCCCAATATCACCTGCCCCTTAAACACTGCCCTGAAGTCCCCAGATTGTGCCCTCTCTCATTTACCTTGAGGACTATTCTCTTCCAGCCCTACCCAAGCCCAAGTTCAGCAGATGACCCTGCTTCTGAGTCTACAAAGAAAACAGAGATTATCAGACTCGATTTGCACAATTCCTTGTACCTCTACTCAAACCCTCATCTTCATCTTAGCCCATTCTTACTTTCTTTTATTCCTCATTACAGTGCGAGATATCAAATTTTAATCTATCCACCTCTGCTCTGACCCTATCCTTCTCCATGTCCTCAGGAATCTCACTCCATCAACTAGATGTGCCAACTAGATCTGCCTTCAAGAAGGGCCTTGTTGTCTCAGCTGCTGGAAATGCTGTTACCAGAAAGCCTTCTTCTGTGACCTCCTTTAAAGCAGTGGTCGCCAACCGGTGTTCTGTGAGGTCCAAAAGGTTGGCGACCGTTGCTTTAGAGTATGCACACACTTCCCAGGGCAGCCCACATCCAATGACTGATGGAAGCAGCCGAATAAAGGCCAGGTCATTTTGGCCCAATGCTGGACAACTTTGTCAGACCATTTTCACTCTAGAGCACCCGTGGGGTTAGCGGAAGCTGACTAATAAAGGGTAGTATTCACTTTGCACCATCAGAAGAAATCAAGATGGACTATCAGGAGGCTGAGTGCAGTCATCCCAATAAAATCTTATGGTCCATTGATCAGTTTCCAGACCTGGAACTCAGGTCCTCTGCAACATCATGACAAGTACACACAGTGTGACCGCCCTGCCTTCCCCCAAAGGGCCCAATGGCCATTTACTCAGGTAACAGTACACTAGGGAGAGAGGAAGACACATATTTCAAGAGTCAGAGTTGGAATTGAGCCCTGGAGACCTGAAGTGTCAACATGGTCCTCCTAGTAGAGTGGGAGCATACAGGAACCAGACAAAAAATGAAGTCCTGCCAAAGGTCCACTGGGTCAGCAGACCCATCTAGACCCATCTGGGATCATTTTCCGGGTCTCTGGATATACCATTGGGATAGACATACTTGAAAGTTGCACAATCCCTACATCATGCCTTTGGCCCATGGGGTAAGAGCTATCCTAGTGGAGAAAGCCAAGTGGAAGACTATGAAATTGTCCCTTCCCCAACCAAGCAATATTGCATACAGAGGAGAATGGTGGACATTAGTGCCACCTTTGAGGATCCAAAGGATGCAGGGTAGTGATCATATCTCTACTTCACCAGTTGAATCCTGGAAGATTGCAGTGGACTACCATAAACTCAACCAAGAAGCAGTCCTGATGGCAGTGCCATAGCATATGTGGTATCTTTGCTAGAGCAATATAATAAGGCCTCGGGGACATGGACAAGGATTTGGGACATGCATTCTTTTCTACTGCAAACAGAAAAAAGGAGCAGAAACAGTTTGTATTTACTAGTACATGGGATGAACAACAATATTCATTTATAGGTTTGCCCAGGACTATGTTAATTTTTCACACTCTGTCAGAATGTAGTCTTGAGAGATCTTGGCTATCTAGACATCCTACAGAATGTCACATTGATGCATTACATCACCGTCACCTTGGTTTCACCAATGCCTTGTCTACAGTTCACGCCTATGGCCATATTGGAGACCCCATAGAAATAGTTGAAGAATGAGGTAAAACCCTGAGCTCATTTTTTTGATAGGTCAGTATAGAGGTGCAAGCTACAGGTAGTGCACCTGCTTGTCTATTTTGTGTAGACAGGGAGTAGACCAAGGTTATAGAACTTACAGACCAGTGGGCAGTGGGGAATGACATGTCTGGCCTGGTCAGGGCCCTGCAAGGAGAAAGATTGGAAGATGGAGGACAAGGAGGGTGGGGAAGAGGCATGTGATGGAATGATCTCAGGCTGTGAACATCATGGTATGTTACCACCCAGGAGACGAATTAATCAACAAAATGGACAGAATGACTCGGTCAGTTGATGCTAGTGAGCCCCCACCTGCCACCACCACAGGGCTGGTACAACAGAATAACCAGGGTAGGAGAGATGGAGGTTACATAAGGGCCAACAGCATGGAATTCCACTCCCAAAAGTTGATCTTACTGCTGCTGCCACCAAACATCCTACCTACCAACAGAGATCTGGACTCAGGCTCTGCTATGGCACCATCCTCAGGGAGAACAGCTGGCCACGTGGCAGCAAGTTGGTGTTATCACGCTCCTTCCACCCAGAGGGGCCAGCAATTTGTTCTGACAGAAATAGAACCACGTTCCAGGTATAGGTTTGCCCTTTCCGTCCATAGGGCTGCAGAGGGTGCCATTATCCAAGTGCTTATAGAAGATGTGGTCCTTATGCATGGCATTTCACATAACATCACGAGACAGCAAAGGAAGCGGGAGAGTGGGCCCAGACCCGTGGTAGCCACTGGTCACATCACACACTCTATGCCATACACCTGCAGCCTCCCACTGAAGGAGATGCTCAGAGATCATCATTTCCGAGGATGGAAAGCCATCCTGCAAGGCCCTGGATAAAACTTGAACCCAAGTTTATATGGTACTGTGTCCCTAGTAGGATAACTTCATGAGT